TTCTGAGAATAAGGCGTACAATTCATTAATTAAATAACAGTGCGTAATTAGACTACAAAGAACAGAACTATTGGTTGCAGCGATGCCACGCACATTGACCTCTGTACTGGCGATGGGTCTAATAATACATCCTTTATCGTCCTTTGTCCTGTCGTACGGACTTGGTAACAACGATGCTCGGGCTATTTCCATGATTTAATTTTGAATACCACCTCAGCTTATATATTCCTGTCTGAGCGGTTCTTAATCAGGCTTTGTAAATGTCTAAACGACGGTTATTGATAAAACAGGCCAGTAGAGTCGTACCGATAGTGTTCAAATTGTGGCGCGAAAATATGTGGGTGGGAGAAATATATTTCCATAGAATACAAAGCAAATGGATAATATGTTAATATGTATTAAGATTATCAAGATATTTCTTTATTTCAAATAACCTTTCACATTATACAATTGAATCTAAGTGCAACAACACTGCAAGACCTCTAGATACTGGCAGCTTATTTTACATAGTCTAAAATTGATGGAAGCCCGATTTAATTTTGACGTTAAGTCGTAGAGTGAATCAATCTATCAGCCATTATCCTTACGTGACACGTGACAGTGAATACTATAAAGTGTTCCAAACGTCGAGAAATTAATAGCTAAGAAACGTGCTAAATAAAATGAATCATTTTTTGAACGCTATTATTGGTCTAAGATCCAAATCTTCTCGACCTTCACCGAGCTGATAATAGAATAAAATTTATTTTATAATAAATTTAGTATATTAGAAAATATATTAAAACTGGGTTGCCTAAAAAATCCTGGACAGAATATTTGTAATAATTTTTTACAAAAATATTTTTATGAATTATATATATAATATATAGTACCCGGAGGACCGAGCTTTGCTCGGTTTGTTTTTTTTTTTTTGGTAAATCGTGTATTTTGGAAATTACATTTAGATACAAATTATTGAGTAATGAAATATGCATAATATTTTTCGATCTTACCGACGTAATAATAAGAAAATATGAACTGATGTTTTTCACAAAAGAAAGAACTTTAAAAAAAAAAGGGAAAAAAAAACAACATAACAAAATAACAAATCGACAAAAAATTAAAAATAAAGAAAGCAATGATCTGGAATCGAAAAAAAAAAGTAAAAAAATAAATGTGTAAATGATCGTGACGCGAACCACGGCCGTCTGTTTTGGGGCCGCCCGATTACCGACCGAGCTATTTTGACATTTTCTCTTGCGGCGAAATTTACCGTCATATTCGAATTATATTTTTCATTCCCTGAAAACAGGGATAAAAGGACATTTTCTAAAAATGAAACCTAGCTAGATCGATTTTTCGCCCCCGAATCTACGCACATACTAAATTTCATGAAAATCGCTGGAGCCGTTTCCGAGATTCCGATTATATATATATATATATATATATACAAGAATTTCTCGTTTAAAGGATAAGAATATGGGGCATTCCACGCGAAGCGGACAGGTAAATAAAGTTGAAGTCTCCGATTTTATTAATATTTGATTATGTTATACCTATATGTGCCCTCAATCCAGATACAAAATATTTTTTCAGTGTAAAATGTAGTTTACGATTTAGAGAGCTTTAAAAATGTCACTAACCGGCAGGTATGCGCCACTTCGAATCCCATTATCCGATATTGAAAAGATAAATGGAAATAAATGAAGTAGTCAAGTGTATGCTTAATTTAATGAGCTTTCTAATTGCATTTGTGGATATTAAAAAAAAATATTTTTTTTGGAAAAAAATCATGCTCAAACTTTTTAAACTTGAATTTCACAAAGTTGGACCACTTTAATTTTTTTTTATTTTTTTTTCTAAAACTAGTTAATAGTGTATAGATAGTCCTTGCCAAGTTGCATAATGGGCCGAGAAGTCGTTTAGGAGCTAGGCCATCTACAGTGTCGAAGGGTAGCGCCGGTGCCCGGATCGCGCCTACTGCCAGTTAACGCGAGATTACAAAACATCCAACAGAATATTTTGTTTACCTAGATAATGTCTTACTATGTTATTATGTTTCGATTAATGTTTATTAAAAAAATCAATTTTATAATCTTCACTTTTACTCAACATTTTAAAATTTGACATCAATGTATTATTGCAGATAAGGATAAGAGCAAAGCTTAAATTACGGAGGAATTGTAATGCTATAGGACAATTTAAATCACGACAGATAATTTTTATACCTTTCGAAACCTATCCTGTATACCTTTCCGGGCACCGGCGCTACCCTTCGACACTGTAGATGGCCTAGCTCCTAAACGACTTCTCGGCCCATTATGCAACTTGGCAAGGACTATCTATACACTATTAACTAGTTATAGAAAAAAAATAAAAAAAATTAAAGTGGTCCAACTTTGTGAAATTCAAGTTTAAAAAGTTTGAACATGATTTTTTTCCAAAAAAAATTTTTTTTTTAATATCCACAAATGCAATTAGAAAGCTCATTAAATTAAGCATACACTTGACTACTTCATTTATTTCCATTTATCTTTTCAATACCGGATAATGGGATTCGAAGTGGCGCATACCTGCCGGTTAGTCACATTTTTAAAGCTCTCTAAATCGTAAACTACATTTTATACTGAAAAAATATTTTGTATCTGGATTGAGGGCACATATAGGTATAACATAATCAAATATTACTAAAATCGGAGACATCAACTTTTTTTATCTGTCCGCTTCGCGTAGAATGCCCCATATCGGAATCTCGGAAAGGGCTCCAGCGATTTTCATGAAATTTTGTATGTGCGTAGATTCGGGGGCGAAAAATCGATCTAGCTAGGTTTCATTTTTAGAAAATGTCTTTTTATCCCCGTTTTTAGGGCATGAAAAATATCATTCGAATATGATAGTAAATTTCGCCCCAAAACAGACGGCCGCGGTTCGTATCACGATCATTTACACACTTATTTTTTTTTAACTTTTTTTTCTATACCAGATCATTTTCTTTATTTTTTTTATTTCCAAAATACATGATTTACCAAAAAAAACCGAGCTAAGCTCGGTTCTCCAGGTACATAATTTGCTTAGACGGTTGACGGTTTTTTTTGTCAAATTCGAAGATTTTAAATGTGCCGGTACGATAAAACAGTACCTAGTGTTTATATTTATGAATAAAATAAAAAAAAAGTATGTCGAAATATGTTTAAACGAATGATAAATGGAGTGGGTGAGGGGAATATTATTTAACATTTAATGTCTTAGTTGGAACAAATTAATTTGTCTGTGGTGGTAAAATATAATATTTGTTATTATTTTAGCATACAGTAAACAAAATTTCTACAAGACATTGAAATTCGAATAGCTCAAATTAATCGATTTAGAATTATATTTTTTGCAGTTAGGTTGAATAATTTTAATTATTTTTTACTTAATGGAAGTAACTACTTAAACGCCAAATTACTTAAAGTACCTAACGGTGCGTTTTAATCGTTTTTATAGTGATTTAATTTTGTCAGATTTAATAATTTGGCTGCCTCCCCGCTGGCGCAAAATAATTTCAACCTGTAAAATAAAAATAAAACAGTTAAAGTAAAGTAACGAAAGAAGTAAAGTATCAGCCTATACATGTCCCACTGCTGGGCAAAGGCCTCCTCTGTACATAGGGTATCAGGGCATAGTCCACCACGTGGCCCCAATGAATGGGTGAAATGAAAATGGAAATAATTTGATTGTTATTGTTTCGAAAATATGCAGGTTTCCTCACGATGTTTTCCTTCACTGCTGAACACATGATAATTCAGTACTTAAAATTGGCAATTTCATTGTTGCTGGAACCGGGGATCGAACTCAGGTTGCTCGAGTATGTTAAATTAAAGGCGATTGCACGGACACTGAGCTATCACGGCTCAAACAGTTAAATTTAAAAAAATAAAGTATTTTAATTTGTGACGTTGATAAGGTTTAAACAGAACTATCGGTACAAGAGCCCAAACTAAACTAGGTAATTGTAGGTACTTACGTCGTTTGATAAAGCTCCAAGTTTGTTGACCCACCACATTGTTTGAGGATCTCTGTGATAGGAGAAATGTGCTGAGCGCCGTCGGAGTGTATTGGTGGTTTCTTGTGACTGTTAATGGGCCGAAAAAATTATGTACTGTTTCATTCATTATACATAATGTTTTTACTTTTTCAAGTAAAGTTCATTATTAAAAATTTGACCTTTGTCGCAGATCAGCTTAATCACGTATAAGTCACGTCGCGTCTCAAGAATGTGAGGTTGTTTTTACAAAAATAAAAAAGAGAAAGCAGTTGGCGAGAAACTCAATTAAGCCTCCGATGGAATTTGCGTTGAGTGCGGAATTATCGAATTGCACGACAAGTACGATTCAATATCTTACCTAACGAAATGTGCAACTTATCGCCGATTTCAATCTTTATATTGAGTTAGCCTTGATGAACAGATATTGGTAAAAGGCACAAATTGTTGGTGAATATGAGTAATTTGAGCCAAAGCTATTGACAGTATTTTTGAATATTTATAAATCTGAATATTTTTTTCCATCTTGTTGCTGCAAAAGTGAGGCGGACATAAAAAATATTATAATATATCGGAGACTACTTTAATCTTATCTTGCTGTATAACTTCGAACCTTACAGCTCACTGTTTTCATTTATAAAGCTCCGTCTCTTGAATTCTCCTAAGGAATTTCGAGTGACATATTATTATAGAAAATTATTTTTGTTCCTGACAGAAATGTACCTGCCGAACGGTGAAATTAATATTGATCGAAAAAGTATTCTGTAACGCAGAAATATAATATTTACTCCAAGGTTCAACTTTCGGTATAAAACTAAGCATATTAATCGCACGACAATCATGTGCGCATACTGAACGCAAATCACATGTCGCCTGTGACACGTTTCCGACCGCCGAGAGTGTTGTGAGTGACGTAGAAGCCGTAGAAATTGCGTTCTGGTGTATTAGGTGACGCACGACGCCCCAACATCCGATTACTATTGCAATCCGGCGGCGCATGGAATACGACACGAATCCGCTGCCGGCGCCTGCCCGCTTCGCCTTAATCGTGGCACGTTGCCAATGCTCTCGCGAGCGGCGTCTTCGCGCCGGTTACATTCGCTCAGTGGCTAAACACGTTGCCAATCCTCCCGCGGGTGGCGTCTTCGCGAAGGCTGCATTCGCTCAGTGGCTAAACACGTTGCGAATCCTCCCCCGTGTGGCTTCCTTGCACCAGTTACATGTCAACATGGCTCAGTGGATGTACACGGTGTATATTGGTGGCTGGTTACAGTAGATTTGAGGGTCTGTGTGATTGTTCCATTTTTACAAGAAGTAACACACTTCTGCGTTTCGTCTGGGGAGTGAGGTAGCCGGCTCCCACTTTATTTAAAGATGGCAACGCATTTGCAACCCTACGGGCGTTGCAAATGTCCATGGGCAAGGGTTATCACTTAACATCAGGTGAACCGCCAGCTCGTTTGCCACTCTCTCACATAAATAAAAAAAAAATCCTCCATTTCCCCATGACTCCTACTCACTGACCAAACACGTTGGTAATCCTCTAGCAATGCATGTCTTTGCACCGGCTGCATTCCGGCACGGCCCTTTGGCCAAACACGTTGCCTACCCTCCCACGCCTTCGCTAAGGCTATGTTTTACTATGACTCGGTGATATTATTCTGTTGGTCTGGTTTTATTTCGTTCGATGGCTAAGTGCTCGAACAAGTTTTACGGGATTAAAAATATAGTAAGCTTGAATACGTTCAAATCAGTCAAAAGGCAAAATTGATCAAATTAAATATGCGTAAGCATTTTATCGCTTTTTATTCTGTTTTCTTAGCATTTCAGCTTTCAGAGTTGAGTCAGAGTTGTTTTACGACCTTACGTTTTATTAGTTACAGCTCGTTGTCAACAACCAGCTGTTTCTTATCACAGATTCCTCGTGAAAAATAAAAGTTTACCAACAGTAGCTAAAAAAAGTATGATGGTGAGAATCAACATTTAAGTATTCATTTGTATGGGTAAAGTGCGTTCTTTATGTAGTATGACTATTCTTAACGTGAAAAGTTGACATGCGAGCAGGTGGTTCACCTGATGTAAAGTGATTACCGCCGCCCGTGGTCATCTACAATACCTAACGAGCTGCAGAGGCGTTGCAAACCATTATTAAAAGTGCTGCATCAGCTGGTTGTACATAGAAGTTTAATTCCTATCAATCTTACATACGTAGGCGGGATGATAAGTAACTAGCCATTGTTATTTAAAAAGTTAAAATTAAAAAAATGTATATGTCATTTTTAAATTCGTATCTCTGGCCACCTGTGTTCCAAATTTGAATTTGATGGCGTGAAAATTTTATTGCTTTTTTGTCATTTGAAAATATATTTCGTCAACTGTTTTCAAAATGGATAAAATTGAACAAAGAGCGGTGATAAAGTTTCTTCATATGAAGGGGATGAAAGCGAAAGATATCTATGACGAGTTAAAGAATGTTTTGGGCGAATGTGCTCTTTCTTATGCCACAGTAAAAAAACTGGGTGACTGAGTTTAAACGCGGTCGTACATGTGTCCAAGATGAAGCCCGCCCCGGACGTCCAAAAAGCGTCACGACTCCGGAAATGGTCGTGAAAGTACATGATATGGTTTTATCAGATCGACGATTGAAGTTATATGAAATAGCTGACACTACAGGTATCTCAAAAGAACGGGAACATCATATCCTAACTGTGGAATTAAATATGAAAAAGTAATAATGTAAGATCGATAGAACTTTTGATTAATGACTAAGATTACATATTCCTAAATCGGTTACCTATCCAACTAACATTGCAGTACAATCTTCCCGATCAACTATTCCACCTAACGGAACATATCCTAAAAGGCCTAAATCACCCTAAACATATTAGTACAGGGGCTCTTATCTTCGATGTCGCAAAAGCATTCGACAAGGTCTGGCACAACGGCTTGCTTTACAAGCTGACCACACTCAAAGTGCCAGATAGGCTCGTACACACCATCCGGGCCTTCCTGTCAAACCGCTCTTTTCGATATCGAGTTGAAGGCACCCTCTCCACAAGCCGCCGCCTCACGGCCGGCGTACCACAAGGCTCCTGCCTCTCTCCTTTGCTCTTTACGCCCTACACGAGCGATATACCTAAAAACCCCCACGTCAATCTCGCGCTTTTTGTGGATGACACGGCGCTCTTTTATTCAGACCGCAACTTTAGACTACTAACCACCCGACTCCAAAACGCCGCCGACCGCCTCGGCGACTGGTTCCGCAAATGGAGAATAGAAATAAATCCCGAAAAGAGTGTAGCGATTCACTTCACACGAAGTACTTACCCGTCACATCTTTATAATGGTCCTCGCCAATGCAGAAAGTTGGGGCAAATATCCCTTTATGGCCAACCGCTCCCCTGGGAGAAAAAGGTCAAATACTTAGGAGTCACTTTCGACTCGCGTATGTCATTTACTACGCACATTAATAACGTTCGTAATAGAGCCGCGTTCGTCTCCGGCCGGCTACACAATTTAACTAACGCTAAAAGTAAAATGCCCTTAAGGCACAAATTATTATTATATAAGACCTGCGTACGACCTATTATGTCCTACGCATGCATGATCTTCGCCCACACGCACCCTACTCGCTTGTATAAGCTGCAAATAGTACAAAATAAGTTCATCCGCCGTGCAACCGGTGCGCAGTGGTATCAACGCAACGTCGATCTGCACAGCGATTGCAGACTCCCGACGATTCGCGAATATTTTAAAGACCTGACCAAACGGTTCTTCGATAGAGCCGAACATCATCCCAACCCTCTGGTGGTAAGCGCAGCAAATTACCAACCCGACACAAACGCGAACGTCAAAAAGCGTCGCCCGCGAAACGTCCTCATCGACCCGGTCGAGGAAGGGGACTTAGATACGTCGGACCCACCGCCGGGGGTCCCGCCGGACAACACTACACCCACAGTTAGTGCAACAACAAACACACTAGTTCGCCCTCGCCTCCGAGCACGGCGAGACCAACACAACGCGTACACAAGGTACACCCGCGTTCCAAGGCGGTTCTCACCGCCCCCAGCCACCGATTAGCTAAAAACACAGTCGACGGCCATCGGGGTCTCGGTCCGCACCGCAACTTCGATGGCCCTTAGATGACATGTCGTAGTTAAACGCACGCATGAGCACATGCGCGGCCCTAACCCACAGCGGAGGGCCCTAACCCACAGCGGAGGGCCCAAACCCGTGGGTTCTGGCTAGCCCACCGGTTCTGCGTCAGATGAAGCTTTAATAGTCTCGGGACTGAAAGCAAAAACATCAGTTAATACAAGATACAAGAAGTACAATCTTATTAAGAAGAGGCGTAAATTTGCCGTACTAGCGCTATCATTTAATAGCGTCACAAACCTGTTAAATGATATAATACGACCAACAATAATTTGTGATGCATCCCACCTAATTGATATGGGAACAAATTGAAGCAGATTTAACATTTGCAATATAAAATCAATTATATATTCCTGTTTACATTTTCATTATATTTAAGTGGCCCGAAAATATGAGTTATTTCAATTTTCGAAGATTTTATGACTTGAAGTATTTTAATTGCAGGTTAGAATACTGTGGAGTGCATGTGCAACACTTGTAACATACATTGTGTACTTCTTGTACTTGTATACGTCTCGCTTACCTGTTTGACCCAGTACGGTGCGCCTTTTTGCTTTCCCGGCTGTTCGTCAAGTTCATTGCCCTCAGCCCCCCCCCCCCCCCTCACCCCTTGCGCATTTCTACGGCAGAGCCTAAAAACTGACACGATATTATTCTCGGTAAATAGAAAGTGCTCAGTATCAACGTCTATTTTTAGCCGATCAAAATTATCAGCACTTACTCCGCTGCGCGGCGGTGAAAAAAAGCCTATCGTAAATGAAATCGTTAGACTGTGAACACACCGGTTATTGAACTAAAAAGTTTATAATGACTCATTCAATAAGGTATGGTACCTTACAATGTATGTATAACAAGTTGTATAACATATACTCTTTGATCATTTCCATCTGTACCGGTGCTTAGCCGATCGACGCACAGAGTTCCTAATTTTTTTTTTAATTTAATTTTCTTAAAGTAACAGCCAATATACGTTCAACATACCTATGTCCTAGTAGCACGCGATCCCACTGCGTATTGGAGAACTTAACATATTTTCGAAATGTTTTTTTTTATTATTACGATAAATGCAGGTGTCCTCGCGATGTTGCCTTTCCCCGCTTAGGATGTTATAGGTTCTTTAATTTTATGATGCACAAATTTTCGATGTTTGTTTTTGAAGATATTTTAAATTTCGATCATGCGTCGAACACTGTGAAAAGAATATAAACAAGTGCGAGTCGGACTCGCGCACGAAGCGTTCCGTACCATTATCTATAAAAATGGCAAATAAAATCACGTATGTTGTATGGGAGACCGGCTTAAATATTTGTTGATTCTGTTTTTTTTAGTATTTATTCTTATAGCGGAAACAGAAAATTCATCATCTGTCAAAATTTCAACTGTAAATAACACGATCCATGAGGTATAGCCTGGTGACAGACGAACAGATAGACAGAGAGCGCAGTCTTAGTAATAGGGTCCCGTTTTACCCTTTGGGTGCGGAACCCTAAGAACGTCCAAATATTATCCACCATTCCGCTGCGCTTACCGAGTTGACAGCTCAGCTCTTACAACCTTAATATCTGTTTTGTAGCTCTTACCGTATTATCTGCTTTGTTACAATCGATCCGAGGCGATTTGCAATCAATGATGATTAACATAAACCGAGACGCCCGCCTGACGCCGCACCGTCCCCGCGCATGCTAAAATGTGACTCATTTGAATCCGACGCGGATTTAACGCCTTTTTCGGTTGTTAATGCAACGGGAGCCCTCGGTGCGCGGTGTCGACCCACATTGTTGCCGTCCGCCGGGATTTATGCCTCATTGTTCCACCTTAGAGCCTGTTAATTTCTTGTTCGAATCCGCGATGGTTTAATACAATCGCAACGTTCCGAAGATAAAGTTAAATGTCGTTGCTTCAGATTTGTTAACCGACTTCAAGGAAGGTTTCTCAATTCGACCGTATATATTTTATGATTATTTAACGTAGATATTATTTAACGATTTTGATGATGATTATGAATTGGAAAGGAGATATCCCAAGGGTGGTACCATGATAAGAAAATCCGGATCTATAGATGGCATCCCAGAGAAATCGAGGGCAATCCTCAAATGATATAGATATTTTATTATCTTA